CTGCTGAGGGCAGAAATGTGAGCTCAGTGGAATTCATTCCTCCCTTTTTTTGAGGTCCTGCTTTTGAGCTTCATCCAGGAGCTCACATTTGTCCTGATCCACATTTGTCACAGGATATGGAACAGTAAGTCTAAGATATACAAATGCCTTGTTATCTTGAAGATAATGAGATCAGTAAATGAGAAGGATCTTTCCTCTGTTTTGATGGTCATGTGTGTGAGCTGACACAGCCGTGTTGCCATGTTTGAGTGTCTTTTCTGTCTCAGAAATCAAAGCAAGATCTTGAAGATGAGGGACATGCGGTGTGTCAGAAGGATGGGATTGGTGGGAATGTCAAGTTGTGCCGCCTGCAGCCACTGCTGGAAGTGCCCATCCGAGAGGCTGAGGCGCAACCCTTCGAGGTGCTCATGCAGTTTCTGTATACAGATAAAATAAAATACCCTCGCAAAGGTAGGACAGCAGGATAAAAAAAATACTAGCAACTGGGCAGCAAACATTTATTTTGATACAGAGCAGGATCAAGCAGATGATCAATCCTGCTCTAAGCACTTAATTACTTTCCTGAGATAAAAAAAATTAGCAGATTTCTATCAAAGCATACTAACAGTGCTTTGTTTTTCCTAATTCTTTTCAAACATCAAGGAAGAGCACGTTCTTGATCTTTCCAGAAGGTGTAAAAAACCCAACCAAACAAACAAAGATTTCATGGTATTTTGAACATTACAGCAGCCTGCCTGGAAGGACCATGTACCCTGGCTTGGCTTATTTCCTTTTTCTGGTATTGTTTTGATCGGTTGCAAACTGAGCCCACACAGAAAGGCAGAGCCAGCCAGTATTTATCATCTCTTCAAAATGCCAATAGAAAGGAATGCCTCAAGAAATGAAAAATCCATTCGATGCATTCATTGAAGATCCCTGAGTTAAAAACAGTTGGAGGCTGAGTGGTAATAGCCAGAGATCTCTCGGGCCCCACACAGCAAATCTTAACTCATGGCCTTGTTTGAGTGACTGGATACCCAGGGGGAACTCCAGCTCGTGGGGCTGGGGAAGCTGCAGCCACGTGGCACAGGCATTTAAAGTGACGTATGTCTGTCCTAATGCTGGAAGCTTTGCTTCAGCTTCAGTCCTGGATCTTTCCTTTCTATAAAAGGTAATTCTTAGGAAAATAGTAAGTTGTATGCAGTTGTCTCAAGGCTTTCCCTGAGAGGTGGCATGTCTGAGAGCAAGCCTAATTAATGGGGATGAGGGAACCTTCTCATTGGTGTCTGCCGACATTGCCAGGTCCTGCTCTCAGCAGGTTCACTGATCATTGCAGGACAGGATCAGACTGAAGAAGAAGTTATCACACCAAACTCTCCCCTTTGTTACAGGCTTCCCAGGCAGCCTGCTACCATTCTCCGCAGGCCATCAAATGTTCCCCCTGGTGCTTACCTGTCTGCTGGGATCCTCCAATGGCCCTGTTCTGACCATTTGTATTCCTAGTTGCTCCTCTCAGTTCAGAGGGCAGCACCTTGGGGATCCATCCAGAGGCTGAGCTAGTAGAATTGGGCATGCTTATCAAAGGGGATTTTCCCAATTAGGCACAGGGAATGCACGTGACATGCAAGAAGGCTTTTCTCTAACAAAAGGTAGAGATCTGGGGATTATTCCTTGAGTGTGTCAAGGTGTCCCAGCATTCCTTGCTGGTGTCCCAGCAGCCCCATTGCCCCTCTCTTACTTCAGCCCTCTCTTCTAGACCAGCCTCAGGTCTGTACACGCACAAGCACAGAGTGCCTTCGTCAGGGTCTGTCAAAATCAGGGAGCTAGTTGCTAATACTGCGTAAAAACCAAGGACTTCAGCAGAGCTGGAAAATTGGGCTGCTAGCTTCAGAGCTTGTCAGTGTTTTTAGAGACTTCACTTTCTTTTGAGGGTTTTAGAAAATTGTGATCCAGATTGTCACAAAATCTTTGTCCAAAAAATCTTTTGGGGTTGCTCTTTCATGCCTCAATTTTGAAACTCCTTTTTTAGTATCAATTCAGATTTTGTCTAACCAGCAATGGAATTTTTTTCTCCATAAAAGTACTCCAATTGCTGCCCATTCTACCATGCCGAATGCTCAAGTTCATGTAAAAAGAAATACTTTGAGAAAAGTTTCTCTTTTTGTTCTGTGAGCTCTCCAGCATTTTTATCTCTTGTAATTTCAGGTCATGTGCAGGATGTGTTACTTATTATGGATGTATACAAACTAGCCTTAAACTTCAAGCTCTCTCGACTGGAACAGCTCTGCCTTCAATATATTGAAGCATCCGTAGATCTGCAGAATGTGCTCATTGTGTGTGAAAATGCTAACAAGCTTCAGCTGGATCAGCTAAAGGTAATCACATTTTGCATACAAAGTAACTGATAAGAAATTTTAAAAAATAAAATTGATGTAATTAATGCTTTGCAAAAGCTGTCAGCTGTCAGCTCTTGCAAATTCAGTTCTTTCCTATAGTTACAGTTGCTTGAGTTATGCTAGAGTGGATTGTCCTGCAGTTGCTCATGAATATTATGTAGTTTTTTTTCAGTAAGTGTTTGATATTTTTGCATATCTGCCCTGTGGGATGTAAAGGGCAGGGTGACTTTGACTCTTCCTCAGTTCACTCTCACTGCAGCAAGATGGAAACAGTGCATTTTCTGTTTTATACAACTGCAAACAGGTTCTTTCACCTCGTCCGATGAAAAGCTAAATTCTATTCTCATGCCTTTAATTCGAAAAACACTCCACTGAAAACCAAAATGTGTCTGCGATTCTTTGTCTCTGTTGTGGGACAAGGGCTTTTAGGCGTTTGCTGAAAGTCACAAGAGAGTTGAAACTCCCAGGCTTCAGACCATGATTTGCTGTGATGGTCTGGTTCCCACCAACAGTGGCCAGAGGCGATTCTGCTTAAAGCTGCAGAGAAGCAGCTCCTCCACCCAAGTCCAAGAGTCCAAGATGATGCAATACCTATTTGGGCAGTTGGGGCGCATCAGCTGGCCATATAGCTGACGGTTGCAAGCAGAGTGGGGCTAGACAAATCAGTATGCACCAGCCCTTCCTCAGGCACTCTTTATGCACTGAATTTGGGCAAAGGGAAGGCATCCAGGAGGACAGCAGCAGAGTCAGCAGCCAGTACATAAATGCTGGCACAGTCTTTGCTGCATAGGACCATGATGCCATTAGCTGTGCAGAAGCTCAAGCAAGTATCTCAGCATTGGTGGATCTAGTGCCAATAATTCCATATCAGGCAGCTACCTCCACCTGCCTTCACTACCAGCAGGGTGACAGGGGCTCTTCCACACAACTCCATTTGGTCAGGATCACCTTGAGTTGGCATCCTGTCTTCTCAAGTGCGCGGTAGTCCTCGTGGGTAGGTGCCATCTGCAGAAGGTTGCTCTTCCTGGCATCCTAGTCATTGTTTAAAACATTTTACAGATGGGTCCTGGACAGATCCCTGTGGATCCCAGGTGAAATAACTTGGCAGAAAATGGATGGTAGTAATTATTCTTTGAATGAATTTTGTACCCACCTTATGGTGAGCTGGTATAGATGGTATTTTTTGCTTATGAAAATGTTCTGAGGGAAAGCCTTGGTGTGCACTGACAAATGAAGTGCCATTTTTTGTCACGTTAACTGTTTAGCATTAGGTTTGGTTAATTTGTCCCCTTTCCACCACATTGTTTTTCCTAGCAAGTTTGTCATACAAGACCCTACAAGAGTTCTTCCAGACTGCGCAACCTTTACAGAAAAGGTTAAGGCAAAATTCACACAAGGAAATCCTGCAAACTGTTGGTGCCCTTAGTATAGAGTGTTAAGAGTTAAGATCTCTTCACCCTTCTAATTAAATTTTGGCATCTAATTGTATAAATAATTATTATGAGATAGCAACCAGTCTCAATTAGCTCCGTGAGGTTTTCGGCATCTCCTGAGATTCTTATTTTAGAAATCTTCAGAGCAGCTAGATGGGAGACAATTAATCTTTTCCCCGTTATTATTTCCGAGTCAGGTTTTTCTAGATGCTTAGAATTCTCCTGAATTTCCTGTTCAAGTAGGAGCCTAAATGGTCCCTTAGTAAGGAGGTCACTGTTTGATAGTTCCAGCTGCAGGATCCCTGTGGAGGGTCGTACTGGTGGATGTTTACACCCGCAATGTGGTAACATATGTGATGCTGTAGGATGACTTCATACAGTAAACTGTAATTTTTTATTAATACTGTTTTTTTTTAAGGAACATTGCCTCAACTTTGTGGTGAAGGAATCACATTTTAACCAGGTAATAATGATGAAGGAGTTTGAGCATCTTTCATCATCCCTCATAGTGGAGATTGTACGGAGAAAACAGCAACCTCCTGTTCGAACACATTCTGATCAGCCGCTTGACATCGGTAACTTTATGCTTTATAAAGTTATTAGTTGTGCTGGTTTTGCATTGCTAATGGTTTGTTTAGTCTAGGAAGCAGCCTAGGAAGTGGACCACTGCAGACCACCGATTCTCCAGTTGGTATAACTGTGCTTAGGCTGTTTCCCAGACTAAGACAGGGTGTGACTGAGCGTCAGTCAGAACATTATCCCCATCAACATATGTGAAAGGACACCTTAAATATAGTCATGTTCTTCCTGCAATAAAATATCCTGATTCTGTTTGGGGAGAGAAGAGGCAAAAGGCAGTGGAACATTCAGTTTAAGAGGACTAGAAGGTAACAAAGCTGAGTGTGAGGGTTGGCCTGCTCATAGTTTTTCACTGAAGAAGGAGCAGAAGATCTTGTGGGTAAGCCAATGCTGACAAGGTTGACCTTGTGAGAGAGAGTGAGAGGGAGAGGAAAAAAAAACATGGAAAAATTAACCAAGACAAAGTTAATGGAAGAAAGGAAGAGAAGATAGGGAGGAAAAGACTTTAAGAAGATAAATAACCTGTACTAATGGTCATGTCTTTAGTTTTCATTCTGTGATTGTGCTGAAAGGAGATTTGATTTACAATTCTGTTACAGAATTCATCATTTGGGACTAGCCTCATTCAAGACTTTATCATCCCAACACACACAAAAAAAGAAATGTAATAATGAAATTTGCTGAGGCCACAAATTCCAAGGCATTGCCAGTATTGTCTTGGAATACTGCACAAAAAGAATTGGGGACTGGAGAAAAAGGTGGCGAAGCCAGCCCTGGAAGGTCAAGTAGAAAGGCTTCGGCTGGCAGTTGTCCCAGGGAGAAGAGGGGTGCACCGTGCAGGACAACGGCATAGCCAGCTTCTGTATCCAGAGCTCGAATGGTGCGAGAGACCCAAACGTCAAAAAATTGAAAGATGAACTTTGAAAATATGGGTGAATTTGCATCAGACTTGGCTGTGCTCTATTTCTCAGTTATTGTCTATTTGCAAAGGTTAATTAAAGTGTTGGATAAAAGAAGCCTTTATTGAGGATTTGCGAAAGCTTTTCCATTAAGAGACAAAATTTTATATTCCTGGTGGTTGGAAATAATGGGAAGAAAAGGGTGGGGAAAAATCAGGTTTCTTTATCTATAGAGAACACCTTTCAGTGTGGTCACTGCGGGTGTTTGCTGTCAGCAGTTTGAAAGCCAAGCTGACAGGTTTGTTCCTGGGATGGGCAGGAATGGATTGCGATGGGGGAGGATGAAGCTCATTTTGCTCCAGGATTATGAGGAAGGGCCTGCCTCAAACTCACCCCGAGGGTCCCAAAGGAAGGGGGGGCTGGAGCTACAGCTTGATAGTACCTGGTCACCTGGGACTGTCGTGTCTTTAACTATTTCAATATGTTAACTTTCAGGAACATCTTTAATTCAGGACATGAAGGCTTACCTAGAAGGAGCTGGGACCGAATTCTGTGATATCATCCTTCTCTTAGACGGCCACCCAAGGCCAGCCCATAAAGCAATCCTAGCAGCCCGCTCCAGGTTAGTCGCTGTTTACTAAAACTAAGAGAGATCGTATGTGTAAAATTCAGTGCTGTGCAATCTGTGGGTCAGCTTGCTTTTTTGGGAGACAGGGAGGAACTTTCTGTCTGCATGAAGTGTAAGGTGCAGCTTTGCTCAATGAGTGTAATAAGCCTGTAAGCAACAGTGATTAAATATTTTTTTCAATTTGATACCCAGCAGGGAAAGATAGGAGGAAATTAAAACTGTAGAGATTCCCTAGAGGATGCATGAAAAGCTGCACTGCAAGACAAAGAATCTGTAAAATCACAGGAAGGGAAGAGGGTGTAGAGCATAAGGCAGTTTCAGTGAAGTGGAAAGCAACAGATGTCTACTGAGGTCAGGAAGAGTCTTCTGGTGGTGAACATCCATTTCAAACCCTGTGAAACTTTAACCTCTTTCTCACTTGCTGATGTTTAAGACTGGGTATGAATAAGCGAAACAAAAAGTGGCACGTGGCAGAGGCTAGATTGTTCCCCTACTCTGTTGCAGAGACAAGTTCACCCTTCTGAAGACGGGTGCTATTCTCCCTCCTCAGTCTGTGGGTGAAGTGGGTTTGTCCCTCACTTATGTGTTCTGGGTACCTGCACCTTTATGTTCTGCAAGTCATTTGTGTTCACATAAAATTGCTGTTTCAAATACTGTCACAATTTTTTCCAGTCCCAGTAATAATATTCAGTATTAGTTACCGTGGTATTTTACCAGAAGCATTTCACAGCTCTTAAAACAACCCTGCATGATTGGCAGCCTGTAGATACCAAGGAAATTCATAATGCTTTAAGCTCTCTACTGGGTCTTATGCAAATTAGACAAAAATCAAAGCACCATGTGTCCTAATTTTCAAGAAACGGAGACAAATTTCAGGTAGTGCTGATGGAATTTGGAGTTCTCTCACAGGCAGACATATATGAAAACAACAATTTAGCAGTGTTTATGCCCAGGTTGTTGCCTGAATTTGCTTCTTTGGAAGCTGTAGCGCTTAATAGCAGCCTTTGAACAATACTGGGTTAAACCATCCATCTGCAGAATGTGTTACATCAGTTTTATTTCCTTTTCCAGTTACTTTGAAGCCATGTTCCGTTCCTTCATGCCAGAAGATGGGCAAGTGAATATTTCTATAGGCGAAATGGTTCCCAGCAAGCAAGCATTTGAATCTATGCTTAGATACATTTATTATGGAGAAGTAAACATGCCTCCTGAAGACTCCCTGTATCCTTAAATCTACAGTAATTGAAGTATTTCTCTGAAGTGCATGTGCAGCAGCTCAGCTTCCTTCTGCTCCAGATTGCCAGGCACAGCCTGGGAGGATTTTTGAGGGCTGCATTAACAGGCACCGCATTTTAACTTCTGTCATTGGTTTGTATTTACAATCAGTGCTGTTACCTTTGCTTTATGGTTTTTTTTTCCTTAATGAGATTAACAGCTACCTCTTTGCTGCACCTTACTATTACGGCTTCTCCAACAACAGACTGCAAGCCTATTGTAAGCAGAATCTGGAAATGAACGTCACAGTGGAGAACGTACTCCAGGTAATTGTCCCCAAGCAGCTTTCAGCTTTAATTACTCGCTTGACTTAGATAGAGGAAAGCCAAAGGGTCTACTCAAGTGAGTGCCCTCAGTGCCAGGTTCACAGAGTCGCTTCCAGACTGATGTCCACTGAGACTGCACAAACCCTTCTAATGACAGTGGCCCTGCGTGGTTGACGCGTACGCAGGAGCGCAGCCTTCAGTGCCTTTGTTTCTCTGTCTGCTTTTTGTGTCATTAGTGGTCCCGTGCTGCAGGTACTGCTCAGCTGGCCAACAGGATGTTCCGCTTGAGCTCCTCATCCCCCGTGGTAGACCAGTGTTTCTAAAGGTCTTTTGAAGATGTACCGTGTGCTCAGCACTCAACTCCAACCCCTTTTTTGGTAGACAGTTTTACCAGGGCAAATGGTGATGTGCAGGTGACGTTAGTCTTGTTTCATTGATGATGCTGACAGGATCTGGCAATGAAGTTTGAGCTATCAAAAAATAGTCTGTGTTAAGAAAGCCTACAAAGCCACCTGCCAGGTAGGCAGACCGAGCCCACTGCAACACGAGCAGAATCAGTTCCAGTGTTAACTGCTTTTGGCTCTTGCGTGTGCCAGTCTCACCGGGGCACTTCAGAGAACCTGGCTCTGAAAGAGATCTGCAGTTTCCTACTGATTATCTCCTGAGGGCTCCACACATTTCAAACCCAAGGCTTATTTTTGAATAGTTCAGAAAAGATGCAGGTTTGTAATGAAAAGTGGAGATGTTTCCCTAGCTCAGAGGAATTACCTCCTCCGAGTCAGAACAGTGTTTGTGCCCTGTACCTCTGAGCCGTGCAGAAGGAAAATCACATCATTGCTTTCGCTTTAGATTTTAGAGGCAGCTGACAAGACCCAGGCGCTGGACATGAAGAGGCACTGCCTGCACATCATCGTTCACCAGTTCACCAAGGTTGGTTGCATCTTTTCTGGGGCTTTTGAGAGCTGCTGTCCTCTGTCACTGCGGTGGTTAAAGACACATTAATATAGGAATCCATTTCATCATTTCTCATGTGAGACAGCCGAGAGCTGACTGCCTATCACTGGCACTGACAGGTCTGCTAGGAATACTTTTCACACTAAAATATAAACAAAAGATTAGAACAGCCTGGTCTGGAAATGTGAAGACTTTCCAAGATAGAAGTTACCCAGAATTGCTTCCATTTCCACTTGTTCCAGCTGTTCATTTTGTGCCATGCCATTGCTGGGTTCTCATGTGTGTAGCAGGATAAGTTTGTTATGTATTGAGGGCACAAATCTCTTTCACTAGCAGTTACGAGTGTGCTGTTCATATTTCTCTTGAAGTATTCTCTGTCATAGATGTTACATTGTCATGTGCTCAAAAGGCAAATTACCGTGTCCTGGCGGGGCTTCCTGTATCTCCCATGTTTGGATGTGTGGGGTGACGCATTAGTGATAAGGAAAGGTCAAGAGCCTGATGTGCTGATGTTCCTGTCCTCACTCGAGGGAAGGGCCCTGTCGTTCAGTTGCTCCTCTGAGATACGATCCCTCCACGAGGGTTTCCCAGCATGTCACCAGTTCGTTGCACAACTGTTAGTATTGTTGAAATTGATAGATAAATCACAGGAATTGGGATTTCTGGATGCTACACGCTTATTGGTAACAATTCCCTAGTTAGTGTTCAAGTAGCTCGCTATCTTCTGTACGTTTAGTCCCACAAGCCTCCCGCCGCTGCCCATGGGGAAGGAAAGCACCGCTCAGTCCAGTTCGTATCTAGGGTGACGCAGAGGGCGGTATTCACGCTCTTTATTAAATGCATTTTGCATTCAGAAATAACTGAAAATGCATAAAAAGCTTTGAGAGTGGAGCTGGCATCCAGGAATCGCACTCCCAGTTGGAGCACGAGGTTACAGCCCCTGCCTTCATCTTAGTGCATTTTCCTCTGGCCTCGTGAATCCTGCAGAGCGGCCCAGCTCCAGCAGGGGCTGGGGAATGGTCCCACCGTGGGCTACAGGGTAGCCTGGTGGCTGGGACATCTCCTCGGGCTTGGGGTCAATGTGTTACAGTCCCTGAGAGCTGAAATCTCACGGTCTCAACTTCCCAGCGGAGGCTGCAGGAAGACAAACAGGTTGGCGTGATTCTCACCAGAACGTACTGGGGGGAGACGAACATTGCGACATTTCAGAAAGAGAGATTTGAACGGAAGGGCGTTACTTAATTGTACTCCGCTAACCAGAATATGTGGAAATGTTTTATATTTAAACTGTTGACTGCTAGAACAGTTTTCATCAAAATGTGGCTGGAAGACTGTCAAGCAGATGTGCACGAAGAAATCTTCATTATGCAATGTTTTTCTTTGGCCTGAGAGGCTGCAGTGTGTGATTTTTGGCCTGGCGCTGGGTGACTCTGTGTGTGGCTGGGCACGAATGCTTGCCGTTCTGCTCCCAGGAAAGCCACAGGCTCTGAAGGGCGACTTGTTCGAGCTGCGCAAGCCCGGTGGGTCATCAAGGCTTAGGCAGGCCGGGTGTATGGCGTTGGGATCTCCTGTTCTTCCAGCTTGATTGACACTGTTCTCAACTCAGACTGTTCAGGAGTTCTCCCCACAGTAAGAACACGAATTGAAGAGCTGTTCCCAGAGGTTTGCTAGGTTGGGCAACGTGTTTTTAGGCTCCTGTGTGTCAGTTTTGTGCAAAAGCCCTAATAAAACTGCTGTTCTGAAGCATTCGTACTGACACCCTGATCTGTTCCTCTGCAGCGCGTGCCTGGGTGCAGGGGCAGGGTCGCTACCGGTGTTAAGGGGGGCTCTTCCCTTCCCAGCCCCCGGTGGGGATATTACTTGAAGCACGTCCTGAGCTCTTGCTGAAAGTGTACTCAGCCGTTTCCTTCCTGGGTTTCAAAAGCTGCTCAGGACATCTTTATTCTTTGTCACAGTCGAGCTCCTTAGAGCCAGGGGCTATCTTTATTAGATCGGTTAGTACAGGTCGGGCGGGTGGACAGGCTTCTAGGCAGAGTCTGCCTCCAGGGCTGAGTTGTGTGTTAGTAACTCCAGAAGGAGGGATTCCTGGCTCATTCCTCTGAGGTTGTGGAGAAGGAAGGAATGCGTAGAGCTCCTTTTTGATAACAGTTGAGCTTCTGAACAGCCTAAAAGCACAAAGTTTGTTGTAGATTTGCATATATCTGATGTGGCAAAGGGTTTTGTTGGCTAGTGCTCCAGTGACCTGCTTTGACTGCGGGAGGCACGCCAGCAAAACCAGCACGGACGCTGAGCACGGCCTCGCCTTAGGAGCACCCAGGAGCGAAGAGATCAGCTCCGAAGTCACGTTCTCAGTAAAAGCACACAGACTTCACGGTTCAGGGCCGTGCTGGTGCCCAACTTTGCTTTTAAGAGAGTGCTTAGTTGGCATCCATTAGCTTAGAGTTGTCAGTACGAACAGGGATTACTCTCCTTTCTCAGAGGGGCAGTGCTGGGCTCAGCGTTTCTGCGCTTCTCCACTCCTGTCCCCTCCCTGCAGCAGCCTGGAATTGTGACTGGAGCCCCGCGGGCCCCCTGCAGCCCAGCTCCGACCGTGATCTCACGCCATACGTGCCCAGCCCTGCCTGTTCCACGTTGGGTGGCAGGGGTAAAACAGTGATACCTCAGCCATGGTTTGGGGAGGGGTTTAATTTCTTTCTGTTTTTTTCTGTTCTGTTTTTCTTTTCCTTGAAGGTCTCCAAGTTGCCAAATCTCCGCTCCCTAAGTCAGCTGCTCCTCCTTGACATCATAGAGTCGTTAGCTAACCACATATCAGACAAGCAGTGCGCAGAGCTGGGCTCAGACATATGACATGCTTTGGTAATCGAACCTTTCATTCGTTCCTCAAAAAACCTAGCACTTTACGGCTGACTCTCGTTTTTACCATTCCCTACTGAGCTGCTCACAGCGTCTACACCGCACAGCAGGCGGCCAAGAGGAGCATGGACAGCTGACTTGCTCTCCCATGGATTCGCTTGGTTTGCACCTCGGCCGAGAAGTGTTTGGTGTCTGTTACGCAAGTGTAGAATTGAAACCATCGCAGCAATTAATTTATTCCACGTGGGCTTGGGAGTAACTAAGTTCAGAACCAAGCCCATTATTACTTTTATACTGTAAAATAAAGCAGTCATGAGTAAGAGAGTCATTAATACTTTGAAACACAATATTTAAAGAATACTATTTAAAGAACTTCAGCTGCCACAGCCAGGGGCTGTGAGTGGAAGTCAGATCCAACAGAACTGGAAACAGAGAGCACTGGTGTTCGCAGTGAGGCTGACCACTGGACCAGAATGTAGTGACTGCTCAGAGACTCTTCCCTGGCATGGATTAAAGCTAAGCCCTTTTGCAGCTGCCCTGATGGGTGGGCTGCAGGAAACCCAGACCTGTGCTCTGCAGCAGGTCAGCCTAGAAGATTACAGCGGTCCTTTCTGACCATCAAATCCATTAATCCTGTCTCGCTAAGCCTTTCTAAATCAATTTATTAATAAAGAGTTAACATCCTCTCCTGGCATTTCATGATTGACTTGGCTTTCATTTTGGAAAAAATTAAGCAAAAAGAGCTCTGAGCTTGATGAAGGTCACTTTGTTAAAAATAAGTGCGCTACATCTTGTTACTAATTTTATGCTGAAGCGTCTTCGTTAGCCGTTGCCTTTGCAGGAAGGTGAAAGAAGGCAGAGCGCCCTTCCCAGCCCGTTCAGAAGCTGCTGCCCTTCCCTCCCGGTCGCAGCTCCCCAGCTCCCCGCCCTGCTGGATGCTCCCCACGCTGCAGAGGGGAGAGGAGCTCTGCCTCTCCCTGGCTGCTGAATCGTGCAGCTTGGTTGGGGAGCGCTGGAGATGAGGTGGTGTTGGTGGAGCATCTGCAGGCAGAACCGCTCCCCAGCCCGAGAGCCAGCAAGGCAGCCCGGGGGAGGGAGGGACACAGAAGCTGAGAATCTAAATCTTGTCCTGCCTTGAGCTGCACCGGTTTGCAGAGGCGAAGCAGAAGGCAGCGCTGACGCGGTGCTGCTCTCGCCTTGGCTTTTTGGAATGGCAAGAGTTGGCTTGAGCTGGAGCGGTGGAAGATCCCTCCGGGGAAGCGCAGCTGCCCAGCCCCTGTGTTTCCACCCTTGTGACCATGATTTTTAATTCAGGCCGGCGCAGTGTTCCCGGTGCAGTCGGGGATGTGAGCTCCTGATGGGCAGCCTGTAGCGTGACAGGCACGTGCACGCTTCGGTATGCTGAGGGCGTTGCAGCCACTGCACCGGAGGACGCGCCGTTGCATTTGATCCAAGGGAAATGCTTTCGCCACCGCTCGCTCTGCCTCCCAGCTGATGCCTTGCTGAGCTGAGTCAGAGCAGGGGTGGCAAATGTATCTGAGAGCCAAGGGATTATTTCCCCACAGGTAACGAAGTGTCTTGTCAGAGGTCACATTAATTGTACCGATAATCCGCATGTTCCCTGGGAAGCCAGAAGATCTGCAAATGGAGAAAGGTTATACGCTACAACTTGTAAGAAAAACTGCAAGTTATCTTCAGCAATGCTGAATCCACTAGAGGACACCCATTTCCCAGAGAAGCGCAGCCTGTGTCCCTCCGTGAGGATGAACGGTCTGATTTCAACCACGCCATAATCGGCCCCTTGGACTCCATTTTTCTCAAACTATTTGGGGTTTGGAGCTTATTCCTGAGCCCACCAGGGAGGAAACGCGTTGTCTCTGCACCCTCTGAGCTGCGGCGCTGCGGGCGTCTGTGCTGTGGAGGTGGTTTTGGCTTCGCCCCGGCTCTGGTGACCATAGCGGATTTATTGTCTGAAAAATTGCGGTCAGCGGTGCTGTTGTGGTGCCGTGATTTGCCTCTGGGCTGCTGCTGTGCGGGGGACTGGGACCGTGCACCCCTCCGAGGGAGGGCCTGGCCCATGGGCAAGGCTGAGCCCTTCGGCCGGAGCTGCCCCCACGGTTTGGCCCTGGGCTGGGTCTCAGGAGGAGACAGGGGAAGAGCTGGGGCGGTTGAGGGGGAATGGCCCAGCCTTCCCCTAGGATCAGGCGGACGCACGGCCCCACCAGCCCCACGGGGCACCCCTGGGTTTCCCAAGGGATCTCGGGCCAGGAGGTCCAGCAGGGGCAGCCGGTGCTGGAGGAGCCGCAGGGCCAGCACACGCAGGGGGCTTGGCTTGTGCTTGCTAAGGCAATTGGGTGGGCTTATTGCCACCACCTCAGAGCATACCTTTGAGATGGTGGCCTTTATAGCCAGCAGATTCCTGGGATTACTGGTATTGGGGCAGCCTTGGGGCAGTTTTGTACTGGAATTTTGGGGAGTGCACTCATATTCCTGCATTTGACACGGAACAGGTAACAGCATGGCTCTCTGCTTTGGCTTAGTCCTCGTCTCTGCTGTATGTAGGCCACACTGGCTCTTCAATGCCCTCAAGTCCTGCTTTAGTGCCATCCTTGGCCGAACTGGGATTTATCCCAGCAAGCTACAGAGAGCAGGTCCCAGCTAAGCACATGGCACCACCTCCGTGCCCATTCGGGCTTGTCAGCGCGTGGCTGCTCGCCGGAGCAGGGACTCGTTGGAACACGCTTGGCTGAGAGCCCATCAGGCTGCGCGGGGGCAGAGACCCCCCGTCCATTACGCTGCTGTTCAGAAATCTGCTGTCGTCACTCCCCGCGTGTTAGGTCCAGGTTTATGGGATGGTCTTGGCCCCCAACGGCTGCTCCCACCTGACCCGGGCTCTGCCGGGACCCTGCAGCGGGGCCGGGTGCCTGCGGGGGGCGGGGGGCGGGCGTGGGAGATCATGGGACGCTGCGGATGTGCTGGCAGCGCTCCTGTGGGGCTTGGCACTGTGCCCTCGGGAGAGGGGCTGGCGGGGGGGGGGGGGGGTTTTTTTTGGCTGCAAAGCCAAGAGGTTCCCCTTCTGCTGCTCCATGGCCACCACGGAGCCTGCAGGGTCAGCTCCTGTGGTGCCAACAGCACCAGCCCCCCCAGGCAGAGGACCAGCGCCCCTCATCTCCCCTGCAAGGACCAGACCCCGCGGTGGGTCAGGACCTGCTCCAGGCCCATCCCCCCATGCCAAAACCAGGAGAAGCCACCAGCCTCCAAGGGGGGGACCAGGGCTGGCAGGGTCCCCTCCTGGGGCACCAGGCTGGTTCCTAGGCTGGAGGAGCAGGGAGCCGTGCCAAAGCCTGCCCATGGGTTGCTGGGAACAGGAACAGCACAAAAAGAGAAAAATTACAAATTTTAATAAAGAAACATGACGTGAGGGCGAGCACGCTGCAGTCCCAGGGAGGGAGCGGAGCCCGGGCTGCACTCATTAGTCCTCCGCCACCTTCAAGCCCAGGATCTTCTTGACGTAGTTCTGGACGTTGACGTGGAGCTGGGGGGCCGTAGCTGAGAAGGTCTCCATGGCCAGGGCCCGGGCTGACTCCGACCCGCCCCACATGGCGCGGTAGAGGGGCAGGGTGTACTTCTGCTTCCCCTGCAGGCAGAGCGGGGGTTACTCCCCAGCCGCCTCCCTGGCTCCGGTGGGGTGAAGCCCCAGGAGCCCCCCATTCCCCCCCAGGGCACACTGCTCTGGGCCAGGGCAGGCGTGCAGCGTGGGACAAGGTGGAACTTGCTGCCCTTGGCACTGCAGTGCCTGGAGAGGGGAGAAGACCTTGACCACAAAGAAGGAGCAGGCCCATGAGAAGCTCAAGTCCAACAAGGCCAAGTGCAAGGTCCTGGACCCAGTTCAGGGCAATCCCCGCTACCACTACAGACTGGGGGAGGGCGGGATGGAGAGCAGCTCTGCAGAGAAAGACTTGGGGACACTGGTAGGTGACAAATTGGACACGACCCAGGCCTGTGCACTCACAGCCCAGAAAGCCAACCATCTCCTTGGGCTGCATCCCCCACAGCACGGCCAGCGGGGCGAGGGAGGGGATTCTGCCCCTCTGCTCTGGTGAGACCCCCCTGCAGCCCTGCATCCAGCTCGGGGGCCCCAGTGCAGGACAGACACGGACCTGTTGGAACAGAGCCAGAGGAGGCCATGGGAATGGCCTGAGGGCTGGAGCCCCTCCAGAGTGGAGAGAGGCTGGGAGAGCTGGGGGTGTTCAGCCTGGAGAAGAGGCTGCGGGGAAACCTTACTGTGGCCTTTTCTCATATAAAGGGAGCTCGTAAGAAAGATGGAGAGAGAGAGACCAAGGCCTGTAGCGATGGGATGGAGGCAGGGGTGGTTTTAAACCAAAAGAGGATAGGGTTAGATTGGACAGAAGGAAGAAATTCTTTACAATGAGGGTGGTGACACACTGGCCCAGGTTGCCCAGGGAGGTGGTAGATGCCCCATCCCTGGAAACATTCCAGGTCAGGTTGGACGGGGCTGTGAGCAACCTGGTCATTGCAGGGGGGTGGGACTGGGTGACCTTTGAAGGTCCCTTCCAGCCCAATCCATTCTGTGGGTCTGTCAAGAGCAAGAGCCAACCCCTGGCCCTCCGGCGCAGCAGGTCCTGTGCCCGTCTCTCCCCCCATGGCGCGCTGCCGGGCGCAGCTGCCACTGCCCAGGGACAAACCTGGCTGTGGAGGAAGTCCTTGACCTTGCTGTACTCGGCCTCCAGGTTGTTCTTGAGGACAATCTGGCACCAGCGGAGTCGCAGCTCAGCATTCTGGGACTTGGAGATCTTGGGGTACATCTCGCTCAGCCTCTCCACGTTGCCTGCAAGAGGGGGATCACCACCACCCCCGCGGGGGCTTTGCCTCCAGCTCCCAGCTCCTGCTCTGAGGTGACCCTGCAAGCCCACGCCGGGTGCGCTGCAAATCCCCCGGGATCCTGCCAGCCACGGGGGCAGCCCTGGACCCCCTGGCACCCCCAGCCCTGGGAGCATCCCAGGCACTCACTGGGTCCGGGCTGGGGGGTGCCTGTGTTGGGCCCCCTGGGGCCAGGCAGCCCTGCAGAGCCACAGGCCCGATGGCTTGGGATGCCAGCATGAGGGGTAGGGAGGTTCCTCAGCAAAGAGTGCAAGGAGAGGTGAACACGGAGAGGTGACAGCCCAGCTGAGCCAGCCTGGGGACAGCAGGGCTCCTCCCTGCCACTGCATGTGTCCCCAAACATCTAGGGACACAGCTCGCCTGGCTCTCCACTCCCCACTGCACCGATCAAGGCTTCCCCGACACCAGAACAGCACTGCTGGACCACAGTGGGGATGGGCTGATGGCCATGCACCCACGTGTCCCACTGACGTGTCCTCACATCCCCAGCCAACTGGCTGGACTGGGGCATGTCACCCTGTGTCTCCCCTGGCCACCAGAGCCCTGGGAGGTGACCTGGCCCTCACCTTCTGGCAGGGGGGACTTCTGCAGGACCTGGTCCAGGAAGTAGACCAGCTGGTACGTCCTCCAGGCTGTGATGTCCACGGCTTCGATCGCCTCCATGTTCAAGCCATGGGCTGCCCAGAGCTCTGCCAGCTTGTCTGCCGGCTTCATCAGCTGCTCCCCTGGCGAGAGGTCGGGCAGGTAGGGGGGCCAGCCCGGCGTGTTCAGCCAGCGGTCGAACTCAAAGCCTGCCACGGGGAAGGGAGGGAGAGCTGGGAAGTTCTCTGAACCCTGCACCGGGCGCTGCTGCCCAGACATCCCACTGCCTTCTCCGAGGGTGACCCCAGCACCACCAAACCTGCCCAGGGATGGCAACGAGCAGAGACTAATGAGGTGAGGCCGTTAACCTGGGCTTGGTGCGTGATTGTGCAGTAACAGCCCCGCTGCCACCAGTGAGATGAGCTGGCTCCAGCACAGAAAGCTCCGGCCAAGCCTGGCTCTCTGCAGCAAGGCTGAGCTGAGCCTGGGGCACCAGCTGAGCCTGATCCCAGTGCTTGCCAGCAGCTCCAGCAAACACTTGTATCCTGGTGCTAGAGACTTGCCGGGCTCAGCCATCCATGGGGAACCCCCATGAAACAGCACCTGAGCGCAGAGCACGGACTGGATGGAAAATCAGGCTGAGCAGGCGCATGCCTGAGCCCGGGTTAGTGGAGCCAAGACCAGTAGCAGCAGCAGCATCTCCAGTAAAACCCACAAACCGATGTGCACAGGGTCTGCACGGGACACGGGATGGCTCCAACGCCCGCAGGGTGCTGGTTTGCAAAGCAGGGCCCCAGTCCCCCGGCAGGAAGGTGCCGTGCTGACCTGGGATGGAGTCCACGCCTTTCTCCTTCAGCTCTGGGAAGTACTCCAGGAAGAAACCGAGGGCATCATCCGCTGTGATGCTCTGGAACTTGAACTGGTTCACGTAGGCCTGTGGGGACGGCCGGGGCATGATGCCACACACGCTCACACCCGGCAGTGCTGCCTGGCCCTCCCCGTGCTCCATCTCATGGAGGCTTAGCCTTGCCGAGCCCACACCGGCCCCCGTTTTCCCCCCCTCGGGGACTGCCCAGCCCCCTGCATCCCCCAGGACACCTTCAAGCATCGCCACCAGCTGCTGCCAGCATGGGCCAAGCTCTGCTCTCGTCTCATTCCCCCGTGAACATCTCCGTTCCCACCTCCTCTTCCTCTCCCCAGCCACCCTGTTCAGCCTGTCCCTCCCAGGGTCCCGCTGCGCCCTGGCCTCCCACCACAGGGTTTTGTACGACTTGGCACCTCCACCTGGCACCTCCTCATACCGACCTGGAGGAAGGCATCGAACTTGCTCTGGTCCCCCACGAGATGGGCCAAGTAGCTCACGAAGCAGTACCCCTTCTCGTAGGGCGTCTCATTGTACGTGTCGTCTGGATTGACACCTGGAAAAAGGGAAAACCCTCAGGAATCATCTGCCCATCTGCAAAACAAAACAGTCCTCGCGTGCGCCGAGCCTTCTGCTTTCTGGGCCAGGCACAAGGCTGTCACATCTCTCCTGCAGCCATTGCCTCACTCGGGTCCCACCACCAGCACCGGCTTTACTGCAAGCCATGAAGCACCCCAGTAATAGGGCTTCCCCCAGCCAACACCACACCTCGCTTGCCCCCGCTCCCCCCTAGCCGACTGCGGGAGGACAGGGACACCCCACAGACCTGGCTCGATAACCACCCGCAGCTTGTTGAGCGGATGGTCCTCCCCGGTGTTGTCCATGTGCTGGCGCAGGAGGGCCCTTCCCGTGGCAGCCTCCAGGCAGGTGTACGCCAGACCTGGGCAGAGACAAGCAGGAGGCGTTCGGAGACCCCAGCCAGACCCCGAGTGCAAGGGGTGCTGCTATGGAAAGGAAGCATGAGCTGGGAGAGGGGAAACCAATAAACAAGGCACTGGGCTGGCAGACTGGCAGCCCGGTTAGTGAGAGGGTTTTGGAGCCATTTACATGTATCTGGATGCTGGGAGTGCCCGAGCTTCTGGATGTGAGCGGGTGTCTGGGCGATGCTCAGGGCAGCTGGTATCAGCTCCCCGAGGGAGCCACGGGAGCAAGAGGAAGGTGAGGCTGGGCAGGAGCTCAGCACCCATGTCCCTGGCACGGGGCTGCGGGGGCTCCGTCCATCTCTCAGAGCAAGGGCAGCTCTGTTGCTAACACGAAACCCCCCGGGCACTGCAGGCTGCTGCTCTTCACCTTTTCCAAGATGCAGCGCAGGCTCCGGCCCCGCACGCAGCGCCCGGAGGGACACACTGAGCCACGGCACACGGACCCGGGACGCGCACAGGTCTGGCCTGCGACGGCACAGCCACGCACGGGGACTCAGCGCCCCGCGGCCGGGCAAGGCCACGCACCGTAGACCTCGGTGGTAATGCGCCTCTGGGCGTACATGGTGAAGCCCTCGTTCAGCCAAAACTCGCCCCACGTGGCGTTGGTGACCAGGTTGCCAAACCAGCTGTGGGAGATCTCGTGGATGATGACGTCCGCCAGGGAGCGGTCCCCGGCCAGCAGACAGGGTGTCACGAAGGTGAGGCAGGGATTCTCCATCCCGCCGAAGGGGAAGGAGGGCGGCATGAACAGGATGTCGTACCTGCGGGGGAAGAGCAGACACCTTGGGTCAGCCCCACCTCCTCCTGCGGGTGCAGCTGGGGACGGAGGGATGCTCCCTGCCCAGCCCCAGGGCACAAGGTCCTTCAGGAACAGGAGGCAGTACCTGCCCCAAACATAAGGTCCAAAGAGCTTCTCTCCAGCCTCCAGGAACTCCTCAATCACCCCATCGTACTCCCTCTTTGCAGCCTCGATCATGCAGGGCTCTGCCCAGACACGGCTCCTGGCCAAGTGTGCAGAAGAGGAAGTTTTAGCCATTAGCAGACTTTTACCCTATTGCTTCATCAGATGAAAACTGCCCGTTTACTCCACAGCAAAATAAAAGCCTGCTGATAAAGGAAGCTAATTAGATTGATACTGCAAACTGCTGTAATTTCCTTCCTTGTCTGAATGGCTTTTGTATGGCTACTGTGACAACCCGGGAACCGGAACAAACCACGGGCCTTGGGAAGAGATCTGGGACCCTCCGTGAACGGGGACACGCTGCTCTCATTCACACGCCTGAGCAGAGCCAGGGACACCCTCGAAGGCGAAGGGACCTGGCACCGAGGCTCCTCCTCACGCTCAGGAAGAAGCAGCACCCTCACCCGGCAGAGCCCGCGGTCTGATGACGCAGCACCGCGCACAGCAGCCGGGGGACTGACCCGGCCGTGCTCAGGGTCGGTGTCTCTGCGCCTGCCTGCTCTCCAGAGCCCAGCGGTGCAGGGAGAGGCAGCCAGCAGCTGCCGAAGGACAACACGGCACGGGAGCTTCACCCAGCAGCTCCCACAGCCAGGGCTTAATGCTCAGGTCTCCTCCAGAGCCACTGACCTTGGGCCGACGTCAGCAGACACAATGTCCCCGACGGCCAGAGCAATCAGGTACGATGGGATCGGCTGGGACATCTTGAACTCGAAGGTGTTATCCTTCTGCTTCTCCCAGCTCGTGGCACTCATCACAGCCGTGAAGCCCTCGGGGACCTGGGCACGTAGATAAAAACGTCCATTAATTAGCTCCATAACGTACCGAGTGGGACATCAGCTGACCCAGCCGGGGAGACCGCGGTGTCTGATGGTGAACCCTTCCCAGCACGCTGAAGGTGGCTGGGTCCATGGGCACTGTGGGTTTTGGGGTGCAGAGCAGAGCAGTGATGCCCCGAGCTCCAACCCAGGGTCACAGCTGCATCCCTGCAACAGCATCGCTCGGCACTTGGGCTCCAACACCGGCTGGGTGCCACACCAGGACACCCGGAGCTGCCGTGCGAGGTGCCAGCGAGATAAAGAAATGCTGGAGCTGCAGGTGCTGAAAGGGCAAAGGATGCCGATCTTCAGGCTCTCCTCCCAATTCTTACACAACAACTTGTTTTTCCCCTTCTCAAGCCAAAGTAGAAACTGTGGCCGATCGACCGGCCCGGGCTGAGCCCCGGGAGACTGATCTAGTCCCTCTTCTTCCAAACGCGGGGCAAGCCCCCGTGGTGCCATGGGGAATACGGTTTTCTATGACAGCCGAGCTCCGCGCTCACCCGGTGGGGGAAACGCTGCAGAAGCTTTGAAGGTGGAAATCAGAGCAAGAGGGAAAATAAGTAAACTCCAGCATCACCAGCTGACGCCATCGCATGCCATCAGCCTCGGCTTGGTGTCACACTGATACGCGGCTTCCCTCGCCCGCGGCAGGCTGGCACGCTGGGGCGGCCCAGTTGCCGATGCCACTGCATGACCACCCACGCGTGAGGAGGGAATTCGGATTATTTAGTCCCGTTTTTGTTCTAAATCTGGGGACCAGTGGCTGCTCCTTCCATTCTGAAAGCCCGGCAGCCCTGGCACTGCCACCAGGACCTGGTGCGGCCCAGCGTCACCCCCCTCCTCCAGCTGTGCCCCCCCAAATTTGGCCTGTCCCGGTTGCCCTCCCACTGCTACACATGCCGAGAGCAGGCATCCTGCCGCCCTCAGATGGCTACGGGGCAAAAATAGGGGTTTCTGTGATAATTAGAGGAATTACTTGGAGGAGTGCAGAGAGGTCTAAGCACCGAGCTGATCCCGACAGGGAGCTGGTATTTTGGCATCAAGCACCAAGGAGAGAAGAGCTTTAGCAGGACGGCCAGCACGTGCACCCGCTCGCAAGCCCCGGCGCAAAGCGGCGCCCGGCACACATGGCTGGGGAGAAGCAAGAGACCCTGGGATCTGCTTGCAGTCATCGAAAGACAAATGTAAGAGAAGGCCAGGAGGATAAATGAGCTGTTCCTCAGTGCCTGCTCCGCTGGGGGCCTGCGGTGGAGGCTTTGAAGCGAGCACGACACGCATCGCCTCCAACGCGCGGAGGCCCAGGCGGTGCTGCTGGTGCCCCAGTGCTTGGGCGCACCCTGCAAGCGAGCGGGCAGCTTCCCCGCCAGCAAACTGTGCAAACTCCCCCTAGGCCGGGGCTGCGCCCCCGCGTGCTGCCGGGGCACCGCTTACCTGCACCGTGGCCGAATACGTGCATTTGACGGAGGGGGTGTCGAAGCAGGGGAAGAAGGACCTGTTGAGCACGGCCTGGCCTTGCGTGTACATGTAGGGCTTCTGCTTCCCCGCCGTCTGCTCGGGAGTCAGCCAGCACACCTGGGGGAGGGAGGGGAGACCCCGGGTGAGGGGGGTCCCGAGGGTAGGGGGGTTGCCCGAGG